ATAGACATGGCGCCCCACTCTTTGAATTCTTTGCATGTTTTTGGTTGCGTGCAAACTCTCAAATTTACATTAAACATGCTTTAGTTTCATGCGTTTAATATTTTTAATTGAGGTTTCGAGTGCAGACTAAATTTTAATTGTATTTGGATGATTCCTCCCCGATACACTTGTTCATATGAATGTACATGCATACCTACATACATACATATGTATGTATGTACTTACATATGAGTTTTTCCAGCGAAAAGTCTACCGCGTAAAAAAAATTAAAAGTCCTATATCTAACTTATTTATAGGGGGATTTGGCTGCGCTTTTGCCAAAAATGGTCTTGTTAGGTGGCGCCAGGGTCGAGATATTTTGAAAAACCGTATTTATGCTCTGATTTGATTCACATTTGGCATCTTTAGTAGGACATAGATTTGCAAAAATTGGTACCGCTGGTGGCGCTGGTATCAAAAAAAAAAAGGTGCGGTCCACATAAAATGCATGTTTTCTTCCCGTTGAAAATTCTTTGAAGAACAATATTAACAAAACTTGTTCACTGGAAATTTTAGTAACGTAACGCCAGATAACGTGACGACAGATAATTCAACTGTTTAAAAATAAAGCAGAAAATACTTCTATATTTCAAAACTTAACATTTCCAATATTCCAATTCGCAGTTTTGCAATTTTGCAATCGAAACCGAAATCCATTTCTGTTTTTTGTAACGTCACGCCAGCGTGTAAGTTTACTAATACATATCTTTAAATTGCTACTACCAACATCTGTAATTTTTTTACTGAATGTGGGGCTATTTAATTGCTGTGTAAATCTAGAAAAGTCTTTAATATTTTGACTTTCTAGATTCTTTTTTTTTTTTGACATATTTGTCTTACGAGCGTCACGTAACACCATTTTGGAAATACCCAAATGTAAATACACGCTACCCTGTTGGGAAAATCTCTGGTTCTGAACTTGTGCGCTTTTAGTACATTTAGACCTAGTACTTGTTCGCGATAAATCTCTTTTGCATGCAAATAACTGGCGAATTTAACATGGCGATGTCCTAGGAAGTGTCAATTGCCCACCGATGCATCCCTTTTTCGATAGTTTCGAACTAGTCTTAGGAGTGGTCAAATAGATTTATCGCCTATCCTATAGTTCCGAACCAGTTCTAAACTCGACAGACGAAAGAAAAAAGTATCATGATTTTTCAATCTTTTTGGTTCTTCCGTATGTGCGATTTTAAACTATTTTCAAAGAAATGTGTTTTCAATTTGAAATTAAATTAGTTTGAATTTGTGTTGGCAAAATGTTAATCTGATTAAGAATTAAAAATTAACGATTAAAATCATAATCGCGATTAACGATTAAAATTAATTAATCGTAATCACCTGTACGATTAATGATTAATTTTGTTAATCGTTAATCGTCGGTTGTGATTACGATTAATTAATTTTAATCATTAATCGTTAATCCAATTAAATATAAAATCTGATAATGTGCTCTAGTTTGTCCGGTTTGAAATCAAACAAGAGTTATAGTTATTCCTTTGTGTTTCACGCTTATAAACCACATAATATATAAAAAAAGAAATTATTATTTTCATTAGCAATACATAAGCAGGGAATTAATGAAAACCCACACCAAAGTGTTTATTGATGAGGAAAACCGACTTAGCCATACCCGATTAACTGGCCTTGTGTGCACAGGAAAATTCCAGCGTAAATTAATTAATTACCAAACCTACTTAATCAAATTCAAGGTTAATGATTAAAAAGTAATTTTTTTAATCGCGGTTACGATTAGCTGTTTAATCAGATTAAAAGGAATCATGATTAATTGTAATCGGATTGAATTCAATCGAATTAACTAATTGGTTAAAAAATCAAGCGATTAGTGCCAACACTGGTTTGAATGTAATGAATGAAATATAGGTTTACGTATCTTTGGCTGTAGCTGGGTTTGCAGTTTCCCAAGATATTCAAATGTTGATACAAATTTTTGTTTTGTTGTACCAAGCTATGAAAAAGCATCTGCGAAGTGCAGAATGGAAGCGTATTTGAACAAAAAATCCGCCAAACACGTATCTTTGTAAAGTAAACAAGCTCACCGCTGCATCCCTTTTTCGATAGTTCCACCCAGAACTAAATTCGTCACCTTAGATATAGATATAGATTCTAATAGAAAAAGTGAAATAGAATGGACTGGTGGGAATCTAGTTACTATCGGACTGGTTCATTTTTGGCGATAAAGATTAGTACGGAACTACAAATTTGGTTCACCAGTTCGGGGTTTCCCTGCAGGGTATGTGCGCTTCGTTTTCGCGAAGGGATTCTTTTTGCGATTTCTTCTTGTACTCTTAATAAATAAATGTATTCAAAACGATATATGTAAGTGGATTAAATGCACCAAATGCAAGAGTAAAAAAATTGGACCACGGCTTAGCAGCCTTTTTTACTTACTTACTTTTGGATTGAAAAATTTGTTTTGGATTTTTTGCTTATGTGGTCGGTATAGTGGTGTTTTTTAAAATAACTTAAAGTAAGCTTGCTATATTAAGTGGTAAATAGCGTTTGCAGTAATAAGTTTTTTCAAATGAACCTTTTATACACCTGCGTTCAACTAATTAGCAACTAAATTCAAACTGAGTTGTGTACAACTTATGTTTATTTATTTGTTTGTAATAATATTAATGTAAAATATAATTAAATCTATGCTAGAAACCAAATAAATAAGCGTTTCCAAGCTTGCACAAATTTCCAAAAAATTAATCAAACTTATAAAAATTGTCATCGAAATTTCCAAATTTTTAATCGGAATAAGTATTTAGAAAATTTTCGGGTATGCTGTTTTTAGGCCGTTCTACTTAAAGTGCAAGTTTCAAATCGCTAAAACTTACCATTGATTTTTTAGAACTAAACTACCACCTGTTGCCACCTGTTCGAAAAATAAATCAAATGCTACTTGAATTAGAGAATTAGGTAATAGGAATATGTATCAAAATACTGGTGTCACAAGAAAGGGGTTTAGTAAGGTTTTGTTTGGAAAGTATTTCGAAGAGGGTTGCCACCTGTTCTAAAAGTCGAATTTAAATTTATTATATTCAAGTTAAAGTGTCAAAAGTAAGAGTGTTAATAAATGTTCACCTTGAGGATGTAGAATTTTTGGTGAATTGTAGGAATTAGGTAATTTGAATACATATGAATGTATCGCAATATGAGTATCAGAGGAAAGAGGTTTTTAACAAAGGTTGACAACTTTTAAAAAGTTAAGGGGCTTCATTACTAAACTAAATTTAAGTAAGAAAAAATATTACAACAGTCGTTTGAGAAAGTTTTAGTCGAAAATATGTAATAAAATACTGGTGTCAGACGAAAGGGGTTTAATAAGGTTTTTTTTGGAAAATTTTTCGAAGATGGTTGCCACCTGTTCTAAAAGTCGAATTTAAATTAATTATATTCAAGTTAATGTGTCAAACGTAAGAGTGTTAATAAATGTTCACCTCGAGGATGTAGAATTTTTGGTGAATTATAGGAATGTATCGCAATATGAGTATCAGAGGAAAGAGGTTTTTAACAAAGGTTGACAACTTTTAAAAAGTTAAGGGGCTTCATTACTAAACTAAATTTAAGTAAGAAAAAATATCACAACAGAGTCGTCTAAGAAAGTTTTCGTTTGAAATTATTTTGAAGGTGGTTAAAAAAAAAATTAACGTCTCGAGTTTTTCCCAGTTTAAGTATGTTGAGTTTAATTGAAATAAATTCCACCTAATGTAGCACGCAGAAATTTCATACACTCAGCGAAGCGCGTGCGGGCGATCTAGTTAATAAATAAATATAACTGGCAAACACTGTACATACGTACATACAAACATATGTATGTACACAATATGATACTGAAAATTTCTTATTAAGAGCTCTTTTTCACTTTTGTAAGAACACTGATGAATTTATCATTATTTTTCAATAATTTAAGGTCCAGAGGATATCTGCGACATTTTCCTTCCAGTATTTAAGCAGTNAGTTAATAAATAAATATAACTGGCAAACACTGTACATACGTACATACAAACATATGTATGTACACAATATGATACTGAAAATTTCTTATTAAGAGCTTTTTTTTACTTTTGTAAGAACACTGATGAATTTATCATTATTTTTCNAGTTAATAAATAAATATAACTGGCAAACACTGTACATACGTACATACAAAAATATGTATGTACACAATATGATACTGAAAATTTCTTATTAAGAGCTCTTTTTCACTTTTGTAAGAGCACTGATGAATTTATCATTATTTTAATAATTTAAGGTCCAGAGGATATCTGCGACATTTTCCTTCCAGTATTTAAGCAGTGTTTCTTTTCAAATTTTGGAACTCTCATCAATTAGTATGAAAGGAAACACAAAAAAGGACNTGTTTCTTTTCAAATTTTGGAACTCTCATCAATTAGTATGAAAGGAAACAAAAAAGGATTCTCAGTCTTAAACAAATTTGTTTGTAGTGCAGTATTGGTACTACACATAATTCTAATATATTATACATATCTATTTGTTAGTATTTTTTCTAGGGATATTCTTAGTTTCTGTGCTCCTTTTATTGGAAAATCAAATGTCTCTTTTTTTTTGTCTGTGGATCTGTTTGTATACTGGTACAAATAGCAATAACCACTCAATAAGAAAATCCACACTCTATAATAAAATTACTTTCTACACGTCCCTCACACAATATTAGGCGCATTTGAAAGACCGTCAAAGTGACATTTAAACGCCAACTAGAACATTTTCCAACAAGTATGCCGGATTCAATGTTTAATAGGCAGCTTATAGCGTGTATACTTGCTGTCGATATATTAAAAAAAAATCGCAGTAGTCAATATAAAACTCCATAGGCCATTAATATTTTGAAAAAATGTTCGTTTCTTATTTAAAAAGATACAATAAAATCATATGAAAACACAAGTAAAGAATAAAAAACTCAAGTTGTATTTTTTCTAATAATTTTCCAGATATTGGGTGTTCAATAGACTGTTCACTAAAGACCCCAGCTATATCAACAGCAGAAGCGGCTACATAAACTGAGTATTTATTATACAAAGCGTACACGAAAGTGGTAGCAAAAAGAAGACGAAAGACGACAGGTCAGTGTGATTTTCGAACAAGAAAAAGGAAGAGTAGTCTCCTGCTAACGCAGTGATCAAAAAGCGTTTGGTAAGAGGAGCAATTGGAAGTCATAAAGCAACCGTTGGTGTGCTTAACAACTTAGGTCTTGAGCATATCTTCAAACTACACAATATCAACCAGCGGACCGGACCAATTCATTCATCAATCATCCAAAATTGGTTATATGCACAGACCACCCAAAAAACTATTTTTCGCTTGAAATCCCTGAGCGCGGAATCCGGAAGAAGTACAGCAACAGCGTCTAACCAGCTGCTGCAATTACGCAACTGCAACCAACTCAACCACCACAAATTTAGTTGGTTGGAAAAATACCAATGTGTGAACAATAATTACGATTCTACAACTCTATATACACATATAACTGAATAGTATTGAATAATTTATTAACGTAGAAAAAAAATACTAATCAGGAAGCGGTGATCGATCGCACGTGAAAAGAGAAGCAAAGTGCAAAAGACGAAGGAGCGAAGGAATTTATTGTGCGACGCTGAAAGGAGCACTCAAAAAGCAAATTTAAACCAGTTTTAAATAAAAAAAAACATATTTTAATTATACACTTAATAATATACATTACAATATTTTATTTTAAATCATATATATGTATAACAAAACACAAATAAGTTCAAACTAAAAAACAACAAAAACGAACTTTGTGCAAATACCAACTTTTTGTTGGTAAATAAAATAAAAAAAACAAGTAAAAAATTAAACAAAAAAAACGCGAAAAGGCGGAAAGAACGAGATTAACTAGCCCAAGTGTGAGGTCAAACACGCGCTGCGTACTGAAAAAAATCTCAATCTCAACGACGCCCATAAGAGGCTTCAATTTGTGCTTAAATCCGCTTTTGGATTTTCGTGCGGAAATATATAGTGCCAGCAGTGGCTGCAAAGAAGTCTGAAAAGGCGCCATTTTAAAGCGAAAATAATAATACCAAAAACAAAAAAAAAAAAAACAAATACAAATGAATATGAACATTGCCAATCGCTGAGCTGAAACCCTAAAAATAATCAAATAAAAGAATCCACTAAATATTCGTATGCTTTTGGAGGAGACTATTGAATATTAGCGGACGACGACATCAGAATTCGACGTATCAGCTGGCGTGCATACATAAATCTTCTATTCTATTAAGACTTTACTCGCAAAACAAGCCATTTTACTAATTGACGATATATACATACATATACGACAAATATTTTTCCAGCGTTATTTTGCATATTCTTTATCGAAAGCCGTTTAGAAGCAACATTGTTCCCACGTATCCGAAACTTTTCGCGCATTATTCTTGTTATCGCTTTTACTACTTATATAAATATATACATACACATAAATATATATATATATATGTATATATATTCATCGTTTTAGTTTATGAAATCGTGTCGACCTGGTCATTTACAAACATATATTCTCATAACTTGAAAAGATACGAGCGCCATATTTGTATTATTTTAAAATTAAAATAACAAAAAACCAAAGCCAAGCCCTTAAAACACAAAGGTATTCAAAAAAAATAAAAGGAAAAGTCACTCACAAAATCAACAACAACAAACAAGGATATCAAAATCTCTGAACAACACTAATCAAACTTCAACTTGAATAAGGGGAAAACCACAAAATTTATCTAAAAATTAAAAATATCCTAAATATATATCTATTTAAAAGAATACGGCATTTGCCGCAATTACCTAAAACCAATCACCGAAACTCCAACTTCCGTTTTTGCCGCTGTATAGTAAAAAAAAAAATACTTACAAACATAGTGAATAAATAAAAAATATATACATATATTAAGATTCACACACTTCACGGAAACTTGTGCAATTTTGAACTCTTGCGCTTAAATACACGCACGCTCTGCACGCAAACAGTACAGTACTGCGCTTAAATCCACTCAATTTGTCAACGATCAGCGCGTGAACATTTTGCCTACGCAGCAACGCTAATTGTCCGATTTTCATCTTTTGAAAAAAAAAACTGAAACGTAAACGCCACTTATGGCATCCCTCGAGGAACAACCAATCTCTACCATCACCGCCATTTCCACCTTTGATCCGGCTACCACCAATACCTCTGCTGATATCACTTCGACTACATCCGATTCTTCCGCCGGTAGTGCTGTTGCCACCGCCGCCGCCTCAATTGCTGATATCTCGCTGGTGTCAACGTTGGAGTCGGATTTCGGCAAAAGCACCTGTGCTGAAAATCAACTGCTGCCCTCGGCTGCTCCCGCCTCCGCAGCCATCACCGGTAACATTTTAAGCGGCGGTAACAACTCTGCAGGCGCCTCCAGCGCTACGGCGACCGGTATTGCTGTTAATTCCATCGTTGAGAAGCTTGTAAGTTCACTGACCATTGACATGGACACTGAGCCGCTTGGAAGTGGCAATTCAACGTTGTCGTCTCGTGAGTTCAACGGCAACGGAGGTGCAACTACTTGCGAGCATAAGAGTGTGTCATCGCGTTCGTCTTCGCTTGCAGGCAATATGTTTAGTGAGGTGTTCGAAAATAAGGGTAGCGATTTGGAATCGGGCTCGCTTGAGGATTCATGTGGTTCGTTGGGCGCTGATGGCATGGACAAGAATTGCAAGATATGCAGGTAAGCAGAAATGAATTTATTATATTAAACTGTGATTTTGGGCCTCATAATTTTTGTTGTTTTACTTGCAGCTCGCGCTTAGTAACTCCTCGTGTGCTCTCATGCCTCCATGTCTTTTGCGAATCGTGTTTAGTAAAACTGATCACAGACGATTCTAACGGCAATTCATCATCGGCTTCGTCAACTACTTCGACTGCAGGAGAGTTAATGCCATTGAAGCCTGTTATCGAGTGTCCCACTTGCAAACAAGTAACTATGGTGAGTTTTGGTTTGGAATGTGTGAATTTATTAAAATTTCTTGCGTAATATTTGATAATAATTCAAAATTTCTCAGTTTTATTTGTTTTTTTATTTCTTGGAAGAAAAAATGCGCCTAAAAATATATTTATTTTTCTAGGCATGAGTTTCCTTCTAATAAATAGAGAAGACAGCGCAAAGTGTCGTAAGAATGAAGTGGAAAGTACAAATGTTAAGTGGTATAAGATAGGTTTAACGCCTTATATACCACTGAACACCACTTCCCTGGTTCTTATGGCGCCGAATTTTCATTTCCTATTTCTATTTTTTTAGCAAGTGTTGAACATCATCATACTGTTTTTTTTTTTGTACTGTTGTGTTTATAAATGTGCTTTCCTTGCGTTTAGGTCGGCTCGAAGGGCATCGAATCGTTGACCTGCGATTATATCTTAACCAACATTCTCGATCTTTCCACCATCGAATCGGAGCAGTTGTCGTGCACTTCATGCAAGAGTAAGGAGAAAGCTATTTCACGCTGCAGTGATTGCGCTAATTTCTTGTGCGGCGGCTGTGATAATGCTCATAAGTATATGCGCTGCTTTGAGAATCACGAAGTTGTCAAGCTTGAGGACTTGCAGAAGTCTACAGCTGACAAGCCATTGACCATCCATAAGCCGCTTTTCTGTAATGTTCATACAGCTGAAAATCTGAAATATTATTGCTTCAATTGCCAAATACCCGTTTGCAATGATTGTTTGATTGCCGATCATAAAGGTAGTGAGCATCATTACGATGTGATCGCTATGGCCGAAAAATCTGTGCGCGTTGACGTAGAGAACTTGATGAAGGAAGCCAAATCAAAGGTTAGTTTTTCTATGTTAAATTATTAATTTTTTTTTGGAAAACGTTAATGTAAATACGAATACAAATATTTACATAATACAAATTATGTAGTTCAAATTAGATTAAAGACCCGATAGAATAACAATATCGAGTGAAACCAATGCATTAAATAATAATCGATATAACAGCCATATCGTTATTTTAATATATAAATAATAATAATATATATAATATATCGTCATTGAAATACAAAATGCCGTAACTAACTAAAGATCCAAAAATCACTTTTTGATTGATTAAGATGCACTAACCCAGCAATCGAAGTTCCGAAAATCTTAACGAAATTTTTAAGAG